ATGTAGGACTTGAAACCATAAAGTTCCTAAAAGAAAACATAAGAGAAAAGCTCCTTCACATCGGTCACGGCTAAACAAATGAGACTACAACTATCTAAAAACTTACACACAGCAAAATAAATAATCAACAAAATGAAAAGGCAGCTTGTAAAATGGGAGAAAATATTAGCAAGTCATCCTCTGAGTTTATAAATAACTCATACTACTCAATAACAAGAAAACAAAAACAAAACAGTCTGAGTAAGAAATGGATAGAAGGGCTTAACAGATGTTTTTCCAAAGAAGACGTACAAACGTCCAACAGGTACATGAAAAGATGCTCAACATCATTACTCGTTAGGGCAATGTGAATCAAAACCACAATGAAATAATACCTCACACCTGTTAGAATGGCTATAGTTGAAAACAGGTGTGGACAAGGATGTGGAGAAAAGGAGATCCTTTTGCACTGCTGCTAGGAATATATATTAGTACAGCCATGATGGAAAACAGTTTAGAAGTTCCTCAAAACATTAGAAGGAGTTACCCAGTTTCCCAGTACCATTTGTTGATGAGAATATGCTTTCCGCCATTACGTGTTCTTGGCTCCATTATCAAAAATTACATGACCTCACATGCAGAGGTTTATTTCTAGGCTACCCATTCTGCTCCCTTGTTCTCTAGGCCCATTTTGTGCCACTATCCCATTGGCATAATTTACTATAGCTTTGTAATATAGTTTGAAGTCAGCAAGTGTGATGCCTCCAGATTTATTCCTTCTCAAAATTGCTTTGGCTGTTTGGGGTCTTTTGTGGTCCCATCCAATTTTAGAATTGTTTTTTCTGTATCTATCTATGAAAAGTGCCACTGAAATTTTGATAGGGATTGCACTGAATCTGGAGATGGCTTTGGGATTGTGGACATTTTAATAGTATTCATTCTTCCAGTCCATGAACACAGGATATCTCCCCACGTGTTTCTATCTTTTTCAATTTCTTTCACCAAAGTCTGGTAGTTTTCATTGTACAGTTCTTTCACTTACTTGCTTAAATGTATTCCTAAAAATTTTATTGTTTTTGATGCTATTGTGAGTGGGAAAAGGATAGTCTTTTCAATGAATAGTGGTGGAAACGTTGCATACTCATAGGCAGAAAAATGAAATTGGACCCCTAAATTGCACCACTCACAATATTACCTCAAAGTGGATTAGAGACTTAACCCTAAGTCCTGAGATCCTAAAACTCCTGGGAGAATACATGAAGAAGCTCCTGACTCAGGTCTTGGCAATTGCGTTTTGGATATGACATCGATAGCACAAGCTACAAAAGCAAAATCAACAATTGGAACTATAAAGCTATATAGCTGTAAACTATAACTATAAAGCTTCTTCACAGCATAATCACAATCAAGAAAATGTAAAAACAACGTACGGAATGGAGAAACAATTCACAGACTGTAGAGTGGAGAAGGGGTTAGTACCCGAAATATAAAAGGAACTCATACATCTCAACAGCAAAAAACCCAAAATAATCCGATTTAAATATGGGCAGAGGATCTGAATAGATATTTTTCCAAAGAAGAAATCCTAATGGCCAACAGGTACATTAAAAAAATACTCAACATCGCTAATCATTAGGGAAATGCAAATCAAAACAACGTTGAGCTATCACCTCACACCTGTTCAAATAGTTGTCATCAAGAAGACAAGTGGTAAGTGTTGGCCACATTGTGGAGAATAAAGAAGCTTTGTGCACTGTTGGTGAGGATGTTGATTGGTTCAAATACTATAGAAAATAATACGGAGAATCCTCAAAAACTAAAAGTTGAACTACCGTATGCTCCAGTAATCCCACTTCCTGTTATACATCCAAAGGAAGGAAAACAGGATATGGAAAAGATATCTGCACTCACATGTTTATTACAGCGAGTAATATAGCCAAGCTATGGAAACAACCCAAGTGTCCATCAATGGATGAATGGATAAAGCAATGAGGTGTATGCACACACAAGGGAATATTATTCAGCCATGAGAAAGAAGGCTATCCTGCTAATTGCAACAACATGGGTGGACTTTGAGGGCATTCTACTTAGTGAGATAAGCCAGATAGAGAAAGACAAATATCGTATGACATCATCATATATGGAATCTCACATGTTGAATTCATAGAAACAGAGAGTAGAATGGTGGCTACCAGGGGCAGAGGGGTGGGGGAATTGGGGAGATGTTGTTAAAGGGTAAAAACGTGCAACTAGAAAAGGAATAAGTTCTCAAGATCCAGTGCATAGCACAGTGATTACAGGCAAAAACACTAGATTATATACTTCAAAATTCTTAAGAGATCTGTTCTTAAATGTTCTCACCACAAAAGAAGTTATAATCATGTGATGTGATAGAAGTGTTATCTACAGCTATGATGGTAATCATATGAAATATAAATGGATCAATCAACACACTGGACACCTTTAAGAAATTCAAGCAGAACTACCGTGTAATCCAGCAAACCCATTCTGGGTATATATCCGAAGGAAACGAAATCAGAATCTTGAAGAGATTTCTGCACTCGCATGTTCACTGCAGCATTCTTCCCAATAGCCAAGACCTGGAAACATACGAAGTGTCCAGCAACAGATGAATGAGAAAGACCATGAGGTATATACAGAAAAGGAAATATTATACAGCCATAAAAAAGAAGGAAATCCTACCATTTGTGACAAGGAAGGATCTGGAGGGCATTATGCTGGGTGAAATAAGTCAGACAGAGAAAGACCAATACTGTAAAATCTCATTTATATGTGTAATCTAAAAGAGCCAAACTCGGAGAAACAGAACAGAATGGTTTTTGCCAGGGGCTGGTGGTGGGAGTCTAACAGCTAGATCTGAAGTTAGCATGAGGGAAGCCAGCTTAGGAAAGGAAGCAATTCTGTAACCAGGACCCTGACTCACTAGTCTCTGGGAATACCTTCTCGCCTGCACGCAGCCTACGTGATTAAGCACCTCTCCCTGGTGCAAAATACATCACCTGCTCATTCTGAGACTCTTGCTTATGTACATCCTCCAGCTGTGACAAGACAACTTTGTTCTCTGAGTTCCCCAGGAACATGACAACCTCCAGAAAGAAAAATCCTGCACTGCTACCCATCATGAATGACAGACCAAAGAGATAATCGGCGCCTTGCAGTTTGTCACACCGATGGTCGACATCCCTAAACCCTCTCTTTCCCTGCCCATCTCCCCTCCATAAACTGCCTCAAGGTTCTGTAGGATTGGAAGGTGGTTCTTTCGGACACTAGTCCGCCATCTTCCGATTATGCTAGCTAACTGCATAAATTTTCCTTTCTCAGCCACAGGCCTGTGTGCAATTGACTGGCATGAGATTGTGGTGAGCAGAAGGCGCCCCTTTTGCTTAGTTACAGAGGAAATGAGGAGATGTTGGTCAAAGGCTACAAATTTCCAGTTACATGATGAGTAAGCTCTAGTGAATCTAATGGACAGGATGGTGACTATAGTTAACACACTATATTGTATACTTGAAAGTTGCTAAGGGAGTAGCTCTGAAATGTTCTCCCCACAAATAAATGGTAATTATGGGAGGTGATGGAGGTGTTAACTAACCTTATCATTTCACAGTGGTAATCATTTCACAATATACATGTGTATCAAATCATCGCATTGTACACCTTAAACTCAAACAATGTTATATTACATCAACTATATGTCAATAAAACTGTGAAGTAAAAAGAATTTCAAGATGACAACAATGGAGCAGGAAATCAAGGAAGGGCTTTTCTGCACGAAGGACCTTGTGTGACAGCACAGGTGTCACACCTGTGAATCTGGCAAAAACGCATCTAAAATCTGAGCACTTGTCGCCATCTCCACTGCTGACAACCTGGCCTGTGCTCCCACCAGGGTTACTACTGGTGCCCCAATGGTCATCAAGATCAAATGCAACCAGCCACCGTCCCACAACTAACGACATTTAGCAAATGCTGAAATACGTGTACACATATGTATAAAACATGTTAGTTTATAATACATACCTGAAAATCACATATTATCTTATTAGAATTAGATGTAATGTAAAATGAAATTGGGAAATACCCCAGGCTGAAAGCAGAAGTGTCCTGGTGCAAAGAGACCACAGATCTGTACGCAGTTCCCATGACGGGATGACTGTGTGCAGCAAGTGGAAACTGTCCAGGGAGCTCTCAGCGAAAACTCCTGATCCAGATGAAGACGCGCCGAGTACAAGGCCGCACCCCTTGCCCACGGCCGCCGTGAGAAAGGAACTGAAATCTGCGAGAGAGACGCAGAAACATACTTTCTGATTTACACAATAAACAACAAGAAAATAAAGGAGTGAGCAAGGAAGAAGCTACAGATAAAAATATCAATTCTGCTGGGAAAGACGTTTATAATAAAACTAAGGTATAGATATCTTACTTTTACCTTTTGAATGGACATATACAAACTTAAGATGTTTCAGATTTTACATTTTTAAAGGAGAAAATCTGTTTGCAATGAATGTATCTAATTTACAAAACTGTCATTGTCTTAGGTCTTTAATATGATGAAGCTTTAAGTTTAGTATATTTCATGTTAAATGCTTTAAGCAGCATGCAATGCTGTTATTTTAAAAATCACCATTGTGCTTGGATTGTCAAAACTGATTCATGATATATTCATATCAGATTCTTACCAATAATTTGGTTGGGGCCTGGATTCATTATTGATGTTTAACAATACTGGCCACATTTGGTAGTGGCCTAGATTTATTACTATTTTGTAACAATTCTAGTCACTTTGGAATCCTGCAAAAGATGTTTCAATAAGCTAATATTTAGAAATATTTAAGACTGTCCCTCTGTTAGGAGAAAATGTCGTCAATCACGGCAATATTCTCATTTGAAAACAAGATAAGCAGAGAAATGCATTTTACAAATAGTATAGATAATTTGGCTTTCTTGAAAGCCAGGAATGTAAAATTATAATAATTTCTGATTTTGATATATATAAAACATTGAAAATTAAAATAATGTTTATTAATACATCTCATCTTTATCTTTCAATATATTTTCAGCTACTTCCATGTCATAGGAAATTTAGCATTAACAATTCTTGCAGCGGATGTAGGTTTGAACATTTTTCCCTTTCGCCCAGGAATTCTGTAGTCTCCAGGCGTGTCCTGTGTCCCCAGCTCCCTCCCGGGAAGGCCCAACATCTTGCACATCCTTTCACGAGGGCACCTGTGTGTCTGAATCTGTGCACGATTCCTCCCACAAACCTCACAAGCCTGTGACACAGCACAGCGGGCTGTGATCGCCCCAGGAGCCCCATAAAGGGCGATCCTGTGCACAATAGGCCTCAGGAACACACGCCCTGAGGGAGTAGAGAACAAGCCCCAGGAACAGTCCAGACCATGCAGCTCTGTGCGCATGACCGAAGGAGAGTGTCAGAGGAGGCACACAGGCCCCTGCTGGGCCGGAAGCGGGCAGGGAGCATCCTCTTCCCGAGGGAGCGGCACGTCGATCCTGGGGACAGGAAGCTCTTGTCTCACTGCGGCCAGGAACCAGCATCCATGGGCAGCACACCCAGCACCACACCCTGGTCTCTGGGGCCCCGGTCAGAACAAGGCGGTGGTGTGAGCCCTGTGCCCCCGGCCGGGGAGCAAGCTGGCTACCGCTAAGCAGGGACTCCTAAGCTGAGGCACAGCAGCTCAGTGGTCACACTGTTCAGTCCCTTAATTTCTGAAGTTCAAATGGAATGGGCACCGTATCACAGGCCTTGATGAGAGTGGATTATGATAACAAGAAGTACAGGTCAAAGTGCAACACGTGGTGCGTATTCTCTGTGCTGCTAATGAATGAGGAGAATTTAAAAGAAAAGAAAATACCCTTCACAAAAGGGTACAAAATCAAAATAAATAAAATCCTTACATAAACATCTAAACAAGTAAAGACAAATCTGTATCCAGAAAACTACCAAATGCTGTGAAAAGCTAGCAAAGAAAACCTACCTAATAGGAGACGTATTTCACTTCCACGATCAGTAGACTCAGTATAATGAAGATGTCAGCTCTTCCCGACTGGACCTACAGAGTCAACACAACCCCAGTCAATGTCCCAGTCAGACACTTTGTAGATATCTACAAACCGTTTCTGCACCTGGAATATCCTGCACAACACTGAAGAGCAAAGTTGAGTAAGCCGCACTTCCCCATTCCAGGATTTAGAAAGGTACAGGGAGTGTGATGCTGGGGTAAGAATGTGCCAGGAGATAAATAGAAAAGAACACAGAGTCCATACATAGACTCACAAACATGGGCAACTGATCTTTGTCAAAAGATCAGAGGCAATTTGATGGAGAAAAGTTAGTCTTTTAAACAAATGGTGATGGCACAATCGGGTGACCATATGGAAAAAACTTAACAAAGATGCCAACTTTTCACATGACACAAATATTCACAAAAATTGTTCATGGATGTAAACACAAACTGCGAAACTATCAAAATTCTAGAACTAGCAAAGGAGAAGATATGACCTGAGATTTCATAATGACCTTTTATCTTCAACATTGAAAGAACGAGTCTTCAATGAAAAATCCAGTTAAGGTGGACTTTGTTAGAATTAAAATTTTCTACTCTGTGACAATACTGTTAAGAGAAGAAAAAGACCA